CTCAGCATGCTGAGCCCCCGGGCGCCGGCACCTGGCCTTGCCCTCCTGCAGGTCTTCCCTCTGCTTGGAAAGCCTCTGCTCCTAGTCCTCAGTGAGGTGCTTCTGCTGAGCCTCCTTCTCGGTCAGATCCAATTTGAACTGACCTGTTTGGCCAACTCTTTCTCCTGGTGGCTGCTTAGCTCCAACAACTGCTTCCTGTTAGGGCCCTAAGGAGCCTGGAAGGGCAGGCAAGAGTGGCTAGGAGGGAAGGGGTGAATAGAGATCAGCAATGTGCCCCTTGACATTGAGTTGGCCACGCCCACCCAGTCACACCCACCCACCTAGCCATGCCCACCCACCCAGTCATTAGGCAGATCATATTAGTGGTCCACGGGATTTAAAATTATGCATGTCCCTGAGGTCCAAAAGGTGGGTGGCCCCTGTTCAAAAGCACTTACGTTAAAGCATGCCAAAGCCTCCAGGACACTTTTCTCAATAAAGTCATCCGTGATTCTACGGGATGGATGTTCATTGAAGACTGAATTCATCAGTGCAATTTTGGCAGCACTTCTCCTGGCTTCTGCTTTCGTTGGACAAAACTGAGGTGCGGTTGGAGAAGAATACAAGGCAGACATAAGAATGGAAACCACCAGAGTAAGTTAACAAAGTTATCCCTAAATTATACTTCAAAGGGCACTATAGAATTGCTGGTCTCTTTGATAGGTTGCAAGTGTCAGAAAGGTTTGGAAGCTCAGCATCCTAGAAAGAACCTCACAGGATGCTGAAAGTCAGCCCATATATTTACCAGGAAGGGGGGGGGGGGGAGAAATGCCACAATAATATTTGTCAGTAAAATTAATTGGTTTAAAACCAAACTCTAGGTACTTGATCCTAAAGACCCAGTTCTATTTCCAAGGGTTCAGGCATTCCTGTTTATTTCGGATACCTGCTTCAAATCCCACAAAGGGAATAATTTACCCCCCAAATCTCTGCGGCTTTAGGTTCTAACTGTTAAGGCCAGGATTTGGAATAGTTGGAGATGACAGTATTTCTGAAATTTATTGCTGATATTATGCAGTTAAAAAGTGGCATGCACTTTGAATTTTTCATTTATCCTGCAAAGCATTACTACAACTCATAGCTTGTCTTTTCATGGAAAGAAAGGCTGTTCAAAACTATAGATATTTTTCATCAATTCCCCCTGACTAGGATTCCCTATTTTTTTTCCTTTTTACGACCCTGTAATTCCTTGCTTTGGGGCAACTGAATGGAGCTGAGCGTTTACTGTCCAAATGCCCTTCCTGACGCCTACATGGAGTTCACAGAAGATATTTTCTCTTTGCGCCATGATGGAGAAACATCTGTTGCCAGCTAGAATTGAACTCTCAACCTTCCGAGTGGGAGGTGAGAGTATTTAGTTCAAATCTAAGATTCCATGAGTAAGACAATCTAACCTGAAAACTGCCAAAGCAACTTCCTCCTGGCAACGTAACATAGCAAATATAAGGAGGACTGTTGGATGGGACCATCTCGTAAACCACCAGAGCGCCATTTTTCAGATCAGCACCCCGGGATTGCTTCATCTGCCAGAATTCCTGAAGTGCTTCAACAACATTGACTGAAAATAGAAAAGGAGAGAGTCTGTAAGAATATTGACAATTATTTACACAGACATCTGCAGCCAAAAGCTTTCCCGATCATTGCTGCAATTGGAGGATCCAGAGTGCTATTGCAGAAACTGATAGTCCTCAACTTACAACCACAATTGGGTTCACTCTCATAACTGCGGAACCCGGTTCCAAATACTCCTAGGGAAATTCATCATAACCTGGAATTGTCGCTAAGCAATCGGCCATAGGTCAAGGACTGCTTATTGTGCAGAACACTCCTCTAGGATGTCCACACAGCTTCTACAATTCATACACAGACACTACAATTTTTAAATAATAACTAGAAGATATTAGTACAGTCTTTTGGAATCAAACAGAAAACTCAAAAATAAGGATTACTAATCAACTGGAAAATGCTGGACATTCAGGTTGTCCACGATGTACAACCACAATTCTGTTGCTAAGTGAAACATTTGCTAAGTTAGTTTTGCCCCATTTTACGATTTTCCTTGTCACTGTTGTTAAGTGAATCGCTGCAGTTGTTAAATTAGTAACAGGATTGTTAAGTGAATCTGGCTTTCCCGTTGACTTTGCTTGACAGAAGGTCGCAAAAGAGGATCACGTGACCCCGGGACACTGCGACTGTCATTAATACGAACCAGTTGCCAAGCATCTGAATTTTGATCACGTGATCACGGGGAAGCTGCGACGGTCGTAAGTGTGAAAAGCAGACATAAGTCTTTTTTTTTCCAGTGCCGCTGTGACCTTCTGACAAATTTTGGGTTCAATTACGGTCGTAAGTCAAGGATTACCTGCATGCTAAATATTTATGAATCCTAAGCAACGGAAGAAACACTAGCCTTTAACTGGAAAGTACAGCTCCTCCATCTATGAAAATCGCCCTGGGAAGCAGGAAAGCTTTTGATACCAAAAATAATAATCTAAAAATGCTCCTGAAAAAAAGCATTTCTTTTCTACACTTCCTGCTACCAAAGTGCAAATGTTTACAGTCAGAAGTCAATCTGTGTTATTTATAAACATTGTTTACTCTCTTGGTCCCAAACTCTCTGGTCTTTGCCTTGCATATGACACACATCTGACTTGGGTATTTAAGAAGAAAGAGTAAATGATTCCATATGGCCTTGCAGGCTTTTCAGAGCCAGAAAAGCAGCTCTAAGCTAAACTACAGACTGCCTGGCAAGCATTTACTGTTTAAAAATGTACAAAACAGCATCCATTGGGATGCTACCCAAAAACAGCCACTCCAACCATTATAGCCAATGACCTCAATGTGGAAACAGTGGAAGTTTTTTTCTCCTTACAATTGTATAAAACACTTTAATATATATTTCCTCTATTCCTACATGTATTTCTTAAAACAATCAAATAGGTTTTGAGAAAATAATTTGAGAGAACTTTACAGAACAAATAGTTTGCAGTCCAAATTTGAATAAGCTTTCTTGTAGCCAAGTATAAACAGAAACAAAGGCTATCATAAAATAAGGCTATTTTGAGAAAAGGATTTTATTAATAGAGAATTCTGAAAGATAAAAACCCTCCTTTTGCCAACTAAAATATACATAAAACTTTCAGGCATGAAGTCCCAGAGGTTAAATTATTAGATCCCCACAAAATATTACTTTTTAGCTGGTATAATTTTTGTGTGATGTTGAAAATATAAAGAAAATGTTCATAAATTATGCTGATAACAAAGTTAAAATCATCCACTCCTTTAACTGGTTTCCATCTTCAAAAAACTAGAGACTCCAATCAGCCTGACCTCAATACCTGGGAAGATCCTGGAAAAGATAACCAAGCAACAGACCTGCAAACACCTAGAAGCAAGCAAAGTTATAACCAGAAGCCAACATGGGTTTGTCCAAAAACAGATCATGCCAAACCTTACGTCATTCTTTGACAAAGTGACTAAATTAGTGGACCAGCAAAATGTAGTGGATTTCAGTAAGGCACTTGATAAAGTAGACCACAACCTACTTCCTGGTTAAGCTAAAAAAATGTGGGATAGACGGCATCACCACCAAATGGATTTGTAACTGGCTAACCAACCACACTCAACATGTAGCTTAATGGAACTACATGTACATAGAGATAGTGAAGAAAGCTGTGGAGTACCTAAAGGAGAGGAAACTAATCAAAGAAAGGACCACACTAGAACCCAAGGAAAAAGTTTCCTGACAATTAATCAGTGGAACGGCTTCCAGAATTGTGAGTGCTCAATCACTGGAAGTTTTTAAGAACAGACTGGACAGGCATTTGTCTGTAATGGCATAGGGTCTCCTGCTTGAGCAGGGGTCAGAACAGAAGACCTCCAAGGTCCCTTCCTACTTTGTTTTTCTACTATTCTGTTAACTGAAGGTTTTTGCTCCAAACTCTCAGGAGGGAAACCCAGGCAATTGTCAGGCACAAAAGATCAGCTCCACATGTGAATGTTCAATTAAACAGATTTATTGCTACCCATGCCTTATTCACAGGGGTATTTTCAACTATAGGTAGTCCTCGATTTACAACAGTTCACTTAGTGACCGTTCAAAGTTACAACGGCACTGGGAATAATCACTTATGACCATTTTTCTCACTTACGACCGTTGCAGCATCCCCATGGCCATGTGATTTACGTTCAGATGCTTGACAACTGGTTCATCATTCTAGCACCTGCTCAGAGTCACAGCATGGAAATTGGACTTGGTCTGTTTGTGGCTAGGTAGTCATTCTAGGCCAGGGATGGTGAACCTTTTCGGCACGGAGTGCCAAAAAAGTGACACGGAAATGTTGCATGCGCGCTTGTCAGGGCTCAACTCCGGAAAAGCCGGACTTCTGGTTTCTAGCGTGCCTGACGATCAGCTGACCAGCGTGAATGTGCAGGGCGGTTTTTGGCACTCCCACACACATAAAGGGATCCTGCTCCCGAAAAGCCAAACTTCCGGGTTCTGGCACACATGCGCACCTGGCAATCAGCTGGCCTGCAGCCATGCGTGCACTAGTTTTCAGCACTGCCGCATATGTGAAGGATAGCTAATCGTTGCACGCTCATGCATGCCAGAAACCCTGAACACAAACAGCCAAGTCTGTTCATGCTTGGCGACATAGGTTTCGCGTGCCACTTTGGGTACACGTGCCACACTGCTCTAGGCTGCTCCTTCTTTTGCATCTGCCACGCCTACATGTGGATTCAGGATTCATAACAGTTTCCAAGCCTCTTCTAACAATCAAAAAAATCACACCTGCTTTTTTTGAACCCAATGTGAAAATTCTTGGGATGCTTCACCAGTTCCCTTATGGTTGCCCACCATGTTTCAGGAAGTACAAGTTTTTTAAAGTATGGTTAACAGCAACTTAATGCTTTAGACTTATATACCACTTTACAGTGCTTTACAGCCCTCTCTAAGCGGTTTACAGAATCAGCCTCAACAATTTGGGTCCTCATTTTACCCACCTCGGAAGGACAGAAGATTGAGTCAAACCTGAGCCTGGTGAGATTTGAACTGCCAAATTGCAGGCAGCTGGCAGGCAGCAGAAGTAGCTTACAGTACTGCACTCTAACCACTGCGCCACTGTGGCTCTATATGTATATGCCTGCATTCCTCTAGCCAAGTAATCTTGTATTGAGTAAATCGTCTCTTCCTTACTAGTCATAATCATGAAAACATAATAAAATAGAAAAACTACCCAAAGTCAATAATGCAGTCTTGTTTCACAATGACTCGCATGAAAGCACTATTATTAAAGCAAGATCTCACATCAGATTGACAGAAACAAAAGCCTTTACTCAGAAGCACAGAGCTGCATCAAACAGCCTGCCAGGAAAGGAAACCTGTAATTATAATACAAAATTTTTAAAAACTCACAATTATAGGGTCCAACTTTCTGCAATCTTCAGTAAAAAAAACCAAACTCTTCTTGAGATGGTCCTCTTAAAAAAAACTACAACGATGAAGAGTCACCGATAAATCAACCTTGACAGGAGTGAGTCCATACATGCTTACCCCTCTATTCTCATCTCTGCTGCCTTTATTACCAACAATGAAATGCACCCTACTCTCTATCTCAGGAGAACAGTCTCCGCATTTGATAGCCCTATGGTCAGAAAAATGCCCAATATACGATCAGAAACGCAGCACACCTATTTAATGTTACACATGTTAAGAGCAGCAAAAATTGTAATTGCACAATATTGGAAAAATTAGGAAATTCCTACAGATGAAAACATAATTAAAACAAAATTAGATGGCGGAAATGGATATGTTAACGTATAAACGTATAACAATAAAGGATAAAGAAGATACAGAATATTTCTTAATATGATATTTTAGTTTAGTTTAATTTAGTTTAATAACATGGCTGGATGAGAAAGGTAGAAATTAGAAGTTGGAAGAATACCATCTTATACAAGTAAATGTTGTTACTATTATTGATATTATGTATAAGTAAGTTGACCCAGACAATACAATGTTTATTAAACACTCATTTATGTTAAAGAAAAATGTATAAATAAAATTCATGGGGAGGGGGGGAGAAGTGCAGCACACCAATGAGAAAAGTACTCTGCGGATGTTCAGAGGCACAGCCTTCATAAATAAACCAATGACCCCCTGCTCCAGGTCTACGACAACTCGCCAAGGGCCAACTCACCATGGGACAATTCACCACAGCCAGCTCTCCACAGGACAAGACTTATACTAATATCGTAGAAATAAGTCAAATAGAATCATTAAAGAAAGGATGCCAAAAAAGGTGCAAAATAAAATGTGAATGACAAAATCTAAAGTATTTTTAAAAACATTTTAAATAATTAAATTGTTGAACTGTGCTGCAATTGAGTTGTCCCATCCCACCCTGCTCCCACTTCTCTAAGGCTAAGCCATTACAGGTAGTTCATGACTTACAACCATCCATTTAGTGACCAAAGTTACAACAGTATGGGGGGGGGACCCCTTTTTTCATACTTCTGACCATTGCAGCATCCCCACAGTCACGTGATCCAAATTCAGAAGCTTGGCAAACTGGTTTGTACATACGACCCTTGGTGTGTCGTAAGTCAAGAATTATCTGTAGGCAACATAGAAATAGAAATAAGTAGGAATAGGATAGAATAGGAATAGAGAGAATAGACTAGAATAAAATAGGAATAGAATAATAAAATAAAATAGAATGGAGAGAATAGATTAGACTAGAATAGGAATAGAGAGAATAGAATAGGAATAGAATAGAATGCAAAATAGAACAGAACAGAATAGGATAGGGCACAACAGAACAGAATAGAATATAGAATAAAGAATAGAATAAAATGCAGAATAGGATAGGACAGGACAGAATAGAATTCTGAATAGAATAGAATATGGAATGGAACGGAACAATATATAGAATAGAATCAATATAGAATAGAATCAAATTCTTTATTGGCCAAGTGTGATTGGACACACAAGGAATTTGTCTTTGGTAGAAGGAATTACAGGCAGTCCTTGACTTACGTTTCATTTAGTGACATTCAAGGTTACAACGGCACTGGAGAAAACACGCCCCATGCGGCATACCCCCAGGTCATGGGGATCAAAATTCAGACGCTTGTCCACCGGTTCACAGCTATTGACAGTCGCAATGTCCCGTCCTCATCTTTGCAGACCTTCCAACAAGCCAATGTCAGAAGGGGGAAAGCCAGATTCACTTAACCAGGGGACTAACTTTTAAGGCCTGCAGGGATTGACTTAACAACACTGGTAAGAAAGGTGGTCACAAAAAATGGTCGCAAAGCACCCTTCACATCTTGCTCAGTGATGGAAAATTGCTGTGGTGTGTGTGTGTGTGTGTGTGTCGGTCGTAAGTCGAGGACTACGGGTATTTGACGGTTCTCGACTTTCCCCCCTACCCGTTTGTGTGTGTGTGTGTGTGTGTCCTCATGTATGTGTCGATCGCTGTCATAATTCGAGGACTACTGGTATCTGATGGTTCTCCAAACTGCAACCCCCGTCCCCAGGGCTCGATGTTTGTGTGTGTGTGTGTGGGGGGATCGCGGTCGTAAGTAGAGGATTGCCGGTATCTGACGGTTCTCCAGACTTCCCCCCTTCCCCTGTGTCTAAGTCGTAAGTCGAGGACTACGGGTATTTGACGGTTCTCGACTTTCCCCCCTACCCGTTTGTGTGTGTGTGTGTGTGTGTCCTCATGTATGTGTCGATCGCTGTCATAATTCGAGGACTACTGGTATCTGATGGTTCTCCAAACTGCAACCCCCGTCCCCAGGGCTCGATGTTTGTGTGTGTGTGTGTGGGGGGATCGCGGTCGTAAGTAGAGGATTGCCGGTATCTGACGGTTCTCCAGACTTCCCCCCTTCCCCTGTGTCTAAGTCGTAAGTCGAGGACTGCTCCCCAATTCGGCCCCTGTCGCGGTCGTAAGCCGAGGACTACCGGTATCTGACGTGTCTCCAGACT